GGGGAGGTGCCACATTGCTTTTCTTCCCGACTGCAACGCTGGTCCCGCAAATCAAGCAAGAACGTGATTGGTCGATATTCATTGTGGGGGTGGGGGGAGGAGGGGTGTTAGATAGATATAGAGTTGTAGTAAGTAGATAGAGTTCGCTATGATTTAGGTTTAGTTTATGCATAGGGTCGATTCTTTTAATTACATTTCCTTTTTTGTTTTGTGTATTTTATACATTTTGGATATTCTTGGCGAGCTATTTTTAGAACGTGCCCGGCGGGCGCCTCACGTTGCTCCTGCGGGCGACTGAGTGCCCGCACGCGGGCACCGTGTTGGCTACCCCTGCTCTACAGTGTTGCTACTTTGCTTCCTTCTTTCCTCCGATTGTTTTTGTAAATAGCAGGTGTGTTTGTTTGTTGAGGCTCAGCACTGACCTTGGACTGCCCAGTATTCTTGTCCTTGGCCAGATAGATCCTGGAGATGGAGCCAAATGGTCTGAAGAGCTCCTGCAAGTCCGTCTCGCGGGTGTCCTCAGACAGATTGGTCACACGAATAGTGGCATTGTCATCAGCTGTTGGGGCAAAAATACAGCATCAATACTGGGCAAAGCTTTGTTGATGAAAAATGATTTATGTAAAGAATTGGCATATAGAAAGTCTGATTTAACGTACATCCTCCCCTCCGGTTGGGCTGCATGGACTCCCCTCTCCGCGTGCTTCCATCCCTCAGGCTCGGGGGGACATACTTCCCAGTCTTGCTCTGCGCAGGCTGTGCCGGCTCAGGCTCTCCTGGTGGAGCAACGGAGAAACAGGCCATATTAGTCATGACTTTAGAAAGGTCCAAAAACCAAGTGGGTCAGGAATGACAGATCTAAATTTCAATGATTTGAATAGCGTGTGGATGTACCAGAGCCAGCGGGCTTGTCCTTGTCTGCTGTGGAAAGCCCAAGCTGCTCAGCCAGCTCCTTCTGCATGGGGCCCAGGGTGTCCTTGTATGGACAGCGGGTGGTCCAATGGTCGCCTTTGCAAATACGGCAAGACACAATCTTCTGTCCTTTCAATTTGTTCATGGGATCCTCTTCCTGGTCTTGGGCATTTAAGTCCTGCAAGACGTAAGATGAGAAACTCAGTAACAAGCATAACCAAGAAAATAACAAATCAAGACCGTATTAATGCATTTCAGCATGTTTTATGTGGTCCTCAAAGCATACTTGCCTCTTTGCTGGAGATGAACACCATGAAGACATCGTCACTGACTGTGGTGGTGGCAACATTGGGACCTTTTGCATCAAACTCAGAGTTGCCAAATTTCTTCCAGTTCTGAAACAAGCAAGCAATATCAGATATGGACCCTGACCTAACCCACAATCTAAATCAATTTGAAGTGAAGGCAAATAGACGTAAATGCAAACCTTTCTCCTGGCAACAGCTTTTGAGGCTTTCCTTGTCTCGATCTTGAAGGTCCGCACAATCTTAGGGACAAATAGGCAAGGAATGCTAAATCCATTTAATATGTAAAAGAAGCAAAATGCTTGTATTTCTGTGTTGAAACTACTGCGGTACTACAGTTTAAAGCTTGTATAGTATTATATAATCACTTTCATAGTGATGACTGTTGCAGCTCAAAATTATCAAAAATAAGCAGTTGACAACTGTGCCCAAAAAAACATTCTCAATTTATCGCGCTGATTTCTATCCAATTGACATTCAATTTATTGTAACGTATGAAGAGAACCAACGTGTAGTCAGATGACTACTTGATTATCACAGTACAGATTATTTTTTAACAGCATTTTCATGAATTAGTCTACAACCATACTAATCCTTTTTTATTGAAAATGAACTCCTCTGTACCATAAGGTCTTATAGCCGATGTCAAAGCCTGTTATGCTGCCAAAGCACTGCAGCATTATGAACTATCTAGACCAGGGGTGCCCACACTTTTTGGGCTGGTGAGCTACTTTTGAAATGACCAGCTCACCGAGGTCTACCAACCAAAAATAAAATCCCAAATTGCAAGGGTTGCTGAATAACACGTTTTATTTATACATGGGATAATAGGGCTGCAACGACTAATTTGATAATCGATGAATCTATCGATTAATGAAACGACTAATCGACTATTCAGACTATTACTGTATGCCTTGCACAATTTCTCAAACCCTCTTGTTTAGCCATCAACTTTTAGATTTAGCTTGAGGTTGTTTTAGGCATGTGGAAACTAACAATGAAGACAATAAAGATGAATACTTGATTCAAAAATACATATATTATTAAATTAACAAATTGTGAACAAAACTAACATTGCTTTTTATTTAAATTAAATAAATAATATTTCACATCAAAAGAAACAACAATGTTTTAACAAATCGTATTAAATAATCTGATGACAGAACTGTGAACAGAATAGCTGAAACTTTAACAAAATAAAGAGTAACTCAGTTACCTCTAATCATTAACCCATGTTTGAATCATTAAGTTAACTGCGTGTGTTGCTGCTAGCATACATAACACCTGACGTGGAAACGTTACTCGTGGATGGGAGGGGCTACAGAGCTGCTAGAAAGAAGGTCGAACCCGGTGCATTCCTCCGTCTTAATGTGGAGCACTTTTGCTAAATGTTTAGACACATTGCTCGTGTTACCGCCCTCACATGCTGAACTCTCTTGGCAAGGAGCATTGTCCACTTCAAGACGGGTAACATGTAACCACACCTTGGAGCGCTTCTTTCCGCCATCCCCTCCGTGTGTTGCTGCTTGTAGCAGCCGCGTGTGTGTAAACTGCCCCGCCCCCTCGCGCACAGACGGGGGAGAGAGATCTCGTCTCGATTGGAAAGTTCGAAAATACACCGACATTTGTTTGTCTTTTTGCATGTTAGAAACGAGTTGGCGACACTAAGATTGCGAGATAATATTTGTGTAGCAATAATACATGACCTTTCTCTTTCTCAACTCGCTACTCGGAGGGAAGTCGCTGTCATATGCCTTGTGAACACTCCGATAATGCCTCTCCACGTTACCTTTCTTTGGCAGAGCGACGCTTGCTTTACAAATAAGGCAAATAACCTTTGAATGTGACATCACAAACAAATATTCTTCCTCCCATTCTGGGTGGAAGTGGTTTGTCTTTAGCTTCTTGCTCGGTCACGCACTCATTTTGTTGTTTGTCTCTTGTTTGTCTCTTTAACTTAATTTGAGTTTTCCCGGCACTTGACTGATTTTGTATCGCTTTGCATTCTGGGTTAACAGACTGGAAAGCGATAGGTCGCTTTTTCTGTCAATCAAGTAAACTCCTGAATTAAGTGGCAGGGAGGCCAAGGGAGGAGGGTTCAAAACCTGTTTTGTCTATTTTAACGGAACAGGATTTATTTTTTTATGAATGACTCGCGATCTACCAGCATTGCCCCCGCGGTCGACGTACTGGGCACCTCTGATCTAGACAGATGCAAGAATACCTTAGTGAAGCTCAACTTACCTTAAACTTCTTCCCATCATCATCTATTTTATATTCCGTGATGGTCTTAATATTTCCTTTGATGATTTCCTTGGGAGGGGGTAGTGTGCCTGATAAAAAAAATATACAGTCAAGTTAGACAAGCCAGAGGGAAAAGAAAACGATGCACTCTTGTAAGAGGCTTTGCATGTGTTGGTCCACTACTAAATGAACAAAACGTTTATTTGGCGACACTTCACTGTCCTATGCAGACAACACATCTCTTCATCACATCTCCAGCTCTGAACTAATGACTTGCTTTACAACCAAATGGAAATGCGTATCCTTATAAAGACAGTGACACGTTTCGGTTAGTATGTTTATTTCATAGATGTTTACATATTACAAAGGCCTGGGACGAGGCTATCTTGCTAACTTTTAGCCATCTTGCCGTTAGCAGTGTATGACACTGCCTACGTCACTGTCTAGCATATGTCGACTAGCTACACTTTTCATCAATACAATCATTATTGTATGTCAGTGACGCAAACGTAATAACCAAGCAGTTTGAACATAATATACCCGGACAACACAGCTACGTTTATTTATTTTTCTCTAGTATTAAAGCCAGCAACCACGTGGAAGTTGAAGCTGCCTAGCCGGCCTCCTCCTCCGGTCACAGAGAGGAGCTAGCTTTAGCTAACTAATGTTAGCTCCTTACCTTCATCTACTTCCTCCTCCACTTGGTCTGCCCAGCTGGGCTTGGAACTGGAAAGTACAGATTGACAAGCAACATTAGATTTATCGATAAAGACCTCTCGCACAAGTAGAAATTATGAAATGTTTATAATAGCACTCACTCGTCGTATTCCATCGACGGCATCCTCTCGGCTAGCTTAGCTTCAGGACCGTAAAGAGCGGAGAAGTGCTAGCCGAGGAGCGTAGTCGAGCCGCCAATCCAAACACTTCCGGTTAAACTTCACAATAAAAGGACCGCGTCTGTTACATTTAAGCTTCACAATAAGAGTCCTGTTGTAGGGCTGACAGAAAGTAATGTGTAATCAATCATGTCATATTTTCTTTCAGATTTATAATTTGATGAAGATGTTTGACATCGTAAATATGTTTGATATAGGTTGTACTATAGAAAGGAATAGGGACAGTAACCAGCTCCCACTCAGACACCAAACAACTGTTTTATCTGAGAAGTGTTTTATTTTAGGATTTCAGCTCACATTTTCAGGGAAATAAAGAAAAACTATTTCTGCTGATATGTTTTATGTTCCTACGATTCTGTGTATTTTTACTTTATTTTTTGGGTTGTGGCTATCTGAATACCTTATACTAATATCAATTATGTGATTAGGATATCATAAGTCGACATCGCTTCATTAAACATTTTTGAAGAATTCATCACAGAGATGACTGGTTTGATTTCATTTATTACACTGATTTTTAAACTTTATTTATCAAAAGGTCCACTGTTCAATCATGTAAAAGTGGGGAGTTTGCTCTGTAATGAAACGTACTGCTACCAACAACGCTGACTTGACTAAAAACAAGGCACCCTACAACAACAAGTCATTCTTTATTTCAGATGATTTATTTTTGTTTCAAAGTTAATATAAAAAGAAATGTCAGCATTAACAACGCACAACATAAAAGCTAGTTTTACAGCATGACATTGTGTGGATTATCAAGCATCAGCAGCTCTACTTTCTTATCACCCCCAGCTGTTTTTCCTCTGAGCTCTTCCCACAACATGCTACTCTTATACTGTCAAACAAAGCCATGTATAGGATGGGATGGATACACATGTTCAGAGTTGCAAGTCCCTTGGACACCTGATACATGTCGTACACCCAACAGTTTGTTTGTTTATTGATTTTCAGATACAAGTGATAGATTTGAAGGATGTGGTAAGGCACAAATGAAATGGCATACAGCACAATCACTGATCCGACCAACAGGCCTATCTTGCGTTTCTCCAGGGTGGTTATACTGACATTTTTCCAAATCACTGAAATAAACACACAGTAGGAAGTGAAAGTAACAGCATAGGGAAGAACACAACCAAACACAGCAAGGAATATTTTGTAGTAGAAGTAAGGACGTCCATCCTTGCGAAAGGCGGACACACACAGAGTGTTGTTATTGTGCACAAACTGCATATTGAAGTTAACTGAGGCAAATTTCAACTCAGGGCAGGAAATGACTCCCACAACAATCCAGATGATGACACTGACGACCTTGGCGTGGGCAGGCTCTACATAGGACCGGGTGAAGAAGGGACAAGCGATGGCCACACATCGGTTCACACTTATCGCCATGATGAAAAAGATGCTTACATACAGGTTACAGGAGAAAAGAAACCTCTCCATTTTACACAAGGCATCACCGAACACCCAGTGTTTCCCCAGGGAGTAGTAGACTATCAGCAAAGGCAAGGTCAGGACATACAGCAGATCACTGATGGCCAGGTTACAGGACAGGACCACCCCAGTGTGCCAGTTCCTTTTCTCTCTGACCACCAGCAGCCAAAGGGCAAACATGTTTCCTGCCAGGGCCACGATGAACTCCACCCCATACATCGAGGGCAGCAGAGCCACTTGAAACGCCCCACAGTGAAAGGAGTTCTTCTCCATCTTGATCTCAGCTGAAGGTTATTTTGTTGTCAAGCTTCTTTCACACAGATCGTACCATTGCTGTAAATTGAAGAATGTTTATTCAGTGACTTGCAATAAGTCATATTCTCTTTTTGTAAGTTTAAGTGCACTTTATATTTGTGAAGTTAATTATAAGAAGTAAGGACATCTATGCAGATAACCATTTTTACGATATGAAATGTTCTCTATGTCTATTTAGAAAAGAGGACATTTAAATTATGAAAGCTTTATCTTACCGAAAGGATTCGGCTTGCAGCGTTCTGTAAAGTGGCTCATAAGATGAGAGTTCATTCCCTTTGTGGTATCTGTAATGAAACTGACAAAAGGTTATCCACCATCATAATCACTTTAGGCATCTGAATCTAAGATGAGAAATGTGAGTTTGTCACGGAGGGCTTTTATCAACCTCAAGACACTTCCTCTTACACACACGCAATTTGAAGAAGCAAAACTGAGACACACATCCGATGCAATTGACAAACACGGTCAGTTTGAATTTTCGTTTAAACCAAAATCCAAAAAACGGAAATACCAGCCTTTTTCCGTTTTTCATTTAAAACGGAAAACCAGAGCCGTTTTTCCGTTGTTGTTGTTGTTGTCTGAATCAAACGACGAATAACGAGAAAACCTAATAAAAAAAAGTCTGTAGGCCTACGTTTTGTTAGTTTGATTTGTCGTTGTTTTACGGGAGTGAGGCAGAGACTGGCAGCATGCTGTAAAACATTTTTTTTAAATATCAGTCGGACTAAAAAAAATGTACATCTACCCCCAGGAGCTGGAGCAATTGTAACAGCACAGGGTCAATTGTCTTCCGTGTTGCTGAAACATATTTTAAATTAGGAAGGCTTTTTAAACCGTAATTTACATGTTCTGTGAATAGAGTTTATAGGCTAGGTTACTTAAAATCCGAGCGAGATATTATAATTCGAAGACATGTAGGCCTACGCATTTCGCGGTTCCATTTTGTACTTTGGTTTGAGACAAACTCGCACTTTGAATAAGTTGCATTTACTCTTACATTGTCATTTTCTATATCCTATTAAATGCTTTCCATAAAAACGCACTAACATAAGACCAGTTTAGTTTTAAACATCCAAAAGAAGATAAACGCCTGGTGTGCTATACAATTCCCCCCCCCCCAATACTGTAACCTATAGCATACTGATCAGATATAATGCTTAGCTACTTACAATCAATTCCTCAAATGAAGGCACGGATGGAGAATCAGCGAAACTAAATCAAAATAAATGGGTGCGACCTTTAGGGATCGAGGGGGTCCTGAATAAATCGAGTGACCCGGAAGATCAGGTAGTGACAAAACCTGAAGGCACATTCTTAAATGCTGTGAGTTCCTGCAATAAACGCGAGTTGTAATGCTAAATCTGAGACCTTTTCAAATAGACCTCATGCATCTATCAAATTATAATTATTCATATCTTACCCAGCACCCCAATTTTATATCCATTGAGTCTACTTTTATTTATTCTCTTCAGGAATGCAAACTCATCAGGTATGAAAAAGGTGACAAGCATCCGAGCCCCCCCGACCCCACGGAATATCGACTTTAAAATGAGGAATAACCAGTGCTGGAATTGGGCCGGTACTCACCGGTACGCAGTACCGGCACTTCTGGTTCTGACCCATGGAGTACCGGCACTTCTTGCTCAGTACCGGCATGCTGGCGGTACTCCGGTACTCATGCACCGTGCCAGTACTCAACACTCTCCCGCCGTTCTTATTATACATCCATATATATATATACAGCCGCCCGGTACTCAGTAGATGCGTCATGAGGTGCCGAACGGACATTCTCATCGCTCTAACCGCTGGAGTTTCACAGCGGCTGTCAGCTGTTTACTCCTGTCATTCAAACAGAACGTGCTGGAGAGGGGGCGGGGCTTATATTCTCCATGTAAATACTGTGGTGGAAACGACTATGTCAAAATTAACCTATTTGACCGTGATTTAATAGTAATACACGTTTCAAAATAATAATAATAATGCCGAAGTAACAACATACTGAAAACTGTTAGTAAAACCATGTTTTAATGCTTTACAATTTACATACCTAGATGCACGTGTGTTGTGTTTATGCAGTGCAACTCCCACCCAGTGGGTGGCTATGTAGAGTGATAGAACAGAGCAGGCACGCCCCCGAGAGAAGGAAAGCAAGTCACGTCACAAATTAGCATTTCTAAAATGTTAGCGTGGATTAATAAAAGTGCAAAAAGACAGCGGTTGTCGCCGGAAGAAACTTCAAATACAGAGAATGCTGTGCCTGTGTTGGAAATTGTGTCTGATGGGGAGCTTTCTTTGGTTGATCCTCCTGCTCCAAGTTCTAGTGCATTAGCATTAGCACTAGCTCCGCCGCCTCCTCCAGAGCCTCTAAAGTTAGCTGCTGCTGGCGCAACTGCCACCACCAACACCGGGCAAAGCGATGCACCTGACTGCTGGACAACGGACCAGGTGCAATATTTTTGCAAGACCAATGCATGGCTCCTTCTTAAAGATAAGAAGCTAGGATGTCGGATATGCAGAGATGTCAAATCTTTGGGAATACACACTGGACAAGGACTGAAACTGTCAACTGAATGGGGTGAGTGTGTAGTGTCTCATTTCGGTGTTGACAAGGGCAAACAACAAGCTAGCCTGAGAAAAAAAATCAAAGAACATAAAGAATCACAAGCCCATGTAAAAGCTGCTGACATCCTTACATCTGCTTCACGTGAAACTATTCAACATCAAGTGCAGTCTATGCATAAATCTGAATTAGACACCACTATCAGAGTTTTTCGAACGGCATATAAAATTGGCAAACATAGCCGGCCATTCACAGACATGCCAATTGATTTGAATGTACAGAAACTGAATGGGCTGAACGTGGGCAGGGTTTTGCACTCCAATAAAACCTGTGGCGAAATCATCGACCACATAGCTCATGAGCTGAAGAAAAAAATGGCAAAAGACATTACAGAAAACCAAAGAAAACTCTGTGTTTTGGTCGATGAATCTACCACTATTAGTGGTAAAACGGTGCTTGTTGTGTGTCTACGCTCAGCATTAGCTGATGCTGAGCCCGAAACGTTGTTTTGGGAGCTGATCGAGTTGGATGGAACAACGGCTGATGACATCACAAAGGCGTTAATGGAGTGTCTTGGAAGAGATTTTAACGAGGACTTTTTAGGTCAGTGTTTCGTTTCTTTTGCATGTGATGGGGCTTCAGTCATGCTAGAGAAGAGAACAGGCGTTGCTACCCAGTTGTGTAGTAAATTCCCAAGCCTGTTTGTGTGGCACTGCTCCAATCATCGTCTAGAGCTGGCAGTTGGGGATGTGGTCAAGGAGGTCTCAGGGCTCAATCATTTCCAGATCTTTTTTGACAAACTCTATTCCTTGTTCCATGCCTCCCCCAAAAATCAGAGGCAGTTAGCGCAGTGTGCGCAAGCAGTCGGACAGCGTCTCCTGGTGATAGGGCGTGTTTTGTCCATCCGCTGGGTGGCTTCAAGTGAAAGGAGCGTCAGAGCAGTCTGGGAAAACTACCGAGTGCTTCATGATCACTTCACAAATGCTGCAAACGACACGAGCAGGGATTCCAGAGACAGAGCAAAGTACAAGGGCCTGGATGATGTGCTCACATCTGCAACGTTTGTCAGCAATCTGGGACTGATGTACGATGCGCTCACAGAGCTCAGCGACCTCTCTCGGCAACTCCAAAAAAGAGAGATGACACTGCCTACAGCAGATAGGCTCTTAACTCGAGAAATACGAGTTTTTGAATTCATGGTCACCATGCCTGGCCCACACATGACTACAGTTCATACAGCTCTAGCTGAGAAGTCCTTCAAGGGTGTTGCCCTGCGTGAGAATGGCAGGCTTGTACAGATTCATGCAGGTCAGTTTTTCCGCAGTATGGTAGAGAATCTGAGACACAGAATGACTTCCACAACCTCCTCTCATGTCAGCACAAGAGAAATCCCATTACATGGCCGGGAGGCCCGGGACAATCAGCTAATCCAGGACATGAAAGTTATCCATCCTGGAAGTTGGCCTGAAGAGGAGTTAGACGTACAGTATGGGGACGTAGAGGTGCTACGTTTGTGCGAAGTGCTGAAAGTGGACAGAAGAGAGACTGTTCAGGGCTTTCGCGAATACAAGGAAACCAGGGCATCCCGTACACCTGCTGCCATGGAGCCTCTACTGAAAGCAGTCCGAACCATCGCTGTCTCCACTAGTGAGTGTGAGCGGGCATTCAGCTGCATGAACGATATCCTTACTGCAAAAAGGAATGCTCTCTCTGTCAGCCGACTGTCCAGCCTGGTTTTCATTAAATGTAATGGACCATCACTAGGACAGTTCAATCCGGAACAGTATGTGAGGTCCTGGCTGGCAAAGGGAAGGAGAAGTGCTGATGAAAGAGCCTGTCCAGCTCCAGCCCCTGATGTCTGATGTCCCCAAGGCCTTCTGGAGCCTTTTCTAAGAATGTGAAGTATATTGCAAAGCAGCTCACCCAGTGAGAAGACTTTTGGCATAATGTGCCGATTTGTACAGATCCTGGAGATAGAAGGACTTCAGACCAACCAGGGAGTTATCTGATCAGCTTGGTGTTCAATGTAACTCTTTACCATGGCTCAGACTTTGTTACTTGCAGTTACAGTTTCTCATTTTAGATTGTGCAAATTTTGCATTTGTTTTTACATGTTCTTTGTTCATGCTCTTTATCATTTTTCTGAGTTGGAAAGTTAGATTGCATCATAGTTTACTTTATACATATTTGTATTCTTCAGTGGTGAAGTATATTGCAAAGCAGCTCAGCCATGTGAGAAGACTTTTGGCACTTTTTCGTTTTTCGTTTTCTGAGTTGGAAAGTTAGATTGCATTCAAAATGTACAGAAATACTTAATTTTGTTAAAGCTTTTTATAAAAAATGCTTCTGACCAGAGCTTTGTTTCCTTGTCATTAATGTTGAACACCACCAGAGGGGCTCTCACCTGAAAGGTCTCTGCTTCATGTGTCTTCAGCAGAAGATCTAGACTTTGATTGCTATATTTTCAGTTAATATTGACCTTACTGAGCTTTAGCCATATCCGCTGCCTATCATAAAAAATGTTAAGTACAGTGAACCTTTCTAAAATATACAGTAGTAAAGAGACAAACCCACCAGCATTATAGTAGCCAAATTCTTGTTTGTGGGCTGTATATATAAAATTGACTTGAAAAAGTTGCTGATTTTAGAGTACTGGCACCTTTTTCATTCCAATTCAAGCACTGGGAATAACAGGATTGTAGCAGTCAGAACAACTAAAGCAGCAGTTAGTAATAACAGAAACGCCAAAGAGTCACATCTAATAGAAATATATAAAAGCATTTATTTTAATTGTGTAGCAGTCCGTTTATCATTCTGGCAGCACTGTTGAGCATTTTGAAAATGTATTTTCATGCCTCTGTGCAAGGCTTAGTCTTTCTATCTGTATAGCCACTGGTGTAAAATAACTAAGTTCATAAACTCAAGTACTGTACTTGGGTACAATTTTGAGATACTTGTACTTTATTTAATTATTTCAATGTTTTGCTACTTTGTTCTTCTTCTCCACTAGGCCTACAGTTCAGATGTAAATGGTGCACTTCTACTCCACTACATGTATTTAATCCCTTTAGTTACTTTACAGATCTGGATGAATGATGTGAAATATAACCAAGTGTTAAATCAGACTTTAGTTCCACCTGGAGTAAAGTCACAAGCTACCCTGCAGTATACAAAGTCATTCAAACTAGCTGCACCTTTACCAGCTTTGAGAACACTTTCATGATCAATCATTATAAAACAAATTATTCTGAAATGGACCAATCTGCACAACGACTACTTTTACTGTCGCTACTTTCACTATATTTTGATGAGAATACTTTTCTACTTTTACTTGAGGAACATTTTGAAGGCAGGACTTTTACTGTAACAGAGTAGGCTATTCCTACACTCTGGTACTTTTACTCAAGTACAAGATCTGAGTACTTCTACTTTTACTGTCGCTACTTTAACTATATTTTGATGATAATACTTTTATTTGAGGAACATTTTGATTGCAGGATTGTTCCTACACTCTGGTACTTCTACTTTGACTCAAATCTGAGTACTTGTACTCAAGTACAAGATTTGAGTACTTCTACTTTTACTCTAGTACAAGATCTGAGTATTTCTACTTTTACTCTAGTACAATATCTGAGTACTTCTACTTTTAATCAAGTACAAGATCTGAGTGCTTCTACTTTTACTCAAGAACAAGATCTATACTTATACCACCTGTTTATAGCCTATGAAAAAAACTATTAGAAAACGAAGGCTAAAGCTAACGTTAGCAGATAGTGACAATGTATGCTAGTTAGCCAGCTCAACGATAATATTGCGACAGAAAAACTTTTCAGTGCACATCACGCTCTGCTCGTTCTAACAGCTGTTCACCAGCGGTCCAGTCTGTGCCAGTGACTCCCGACCACACAGTTAATACTAACGAACGCACCCGTAGGTAATATAGCTGCTGAAGCTAGACCATCATCGCGGCCGCAGATTACTCCGGGTCTCAGACCCCCCCCATACCCCAAAAACATTTTTATTGCAGATCTACATGAATCACACACACGACCTATTTTGGATTCAAAACGGCGAATTTCGCCAAAAGGTGACAAGTTTGCATCCCTGCTCTTGGCCTTTTTAAAAATTACATGTTGCAATGAGTTTCTTTTGCACTGGGCTTATGCTTTTATTTGTGTTGTTATTTAAATTATCTTGTTTGAATGTGGTATATAATATACAAAACGTTGCTTGCCTTATGGAATGGAAATGTAAAGACAATCAAATTATTACACAAACCTGAAGGAAAATAAATGACTGCACTGATCACCTGAAGACTACAATACAATTCACCAAGTCAATCGTTTTCACATTTTATTGAACAGGAACAATTTCAATATTCATTTATACAGTGTGAAAAATATAGAACATTCCTCTGCTGATTTTCAGCAATAAACAGTCTCACAAGCATCACTCTCTGCTGAGGCACTGGTGGCTCGCTGCTGCTACCTGGTGGTCAAGCATTATAAACACATTTAATGTCCAGAAAGAAGAGGGAGGGGCTCAGCCTTTTCCCTTCCTCTGTTTGAAGCCTTGCTTTGCTCCTGCACCTTTCTTCCTAAAGGCCGAACTGCTTTTTGGACCTTTAGAATCGAAAGATCTGTCCTTATTTTTGTTTCCACCAAACGATTTGTTCCCTTCAAATCTCTTCTTCCCACCAAATGATTCCCTATCGCCAGTTCTCTTTGCTCCGAATGACTTTCCACCAGGACTCATTTTCCTTCCATATGGCTTCTCCCCGTCCCCCGATTTCTTCCATCCCTTTCCAGTGTTCCCATCTCTCCGATATCCTCCTGGACCGTTTCTCTTGGGCGATTTAGAATCTCTGTCTTTTCCAAACGATTTACCGGGGGACATTTTCCTCTTCTTTGCAGGTCCATGAGTCCTTTCTGAACTATGCTTCCTCTTGGTACTTGGGAACATGTCTGAAATGAAAAAAAGTATTGTCAATAAATAAACCAAAAAAGACCCAGGAGCATATGGTTTAAAGGACAGCAATTATGTTCACCTTCATCGGGATCCTGTCCTACTGCCTGTCTGTAGTACTCCACCTCATCATCAGATTCAACAGCAGCCGGCCGGTCATCTTGATTCCCAGGATCCTCTACCTCACTGTCCTCTTCGGCCTCTTCTTCAGCACGTTTCTTCTTGATGCCTTCCAGGCTCTTTTTCCTGTCAGAGGGTAAAGAAATTCCATTTAATACTTTAACCAGATTAAACATTGACAAATGTACAAGGTCATATTCTCATGTTGTCAGCTCCATCTTAAAAGCTCATAAAAAAAAGAAAAAGAGAATATATTACTTGTGGTCTTCTCGTTTCTCATTCTTATGAGCAACATCTTGCTCCTGCTTTTTCCTGCGGGCCTGCTTCTGTTTAAGCTGGGCCTCCTTTCGTTTCAGGATCTCCTGTATCTCCTCTTCCGTCTTTGAGACTTGCAAACACAGAAAATAACTTCAAATTAAAAGACAGTGTATACCCAGTGTACATTATACTGTGTACACTTTGGATGCATCAGTAAGCGTTTACTTTTAGAGATAAATCACAGAATTCATAATGATTTTGTCATCATGTGCATCTGAATATATCACAAAGAAAGGTGAATAAAAAGGACAGTAGTGCACTCACTCATGGTGTGATAAAGGACATTCCCATCTCCCATGCCTTCTTGTATCTTCATCAGCTGCAGGCTCATGCGAGGACCAATCTGAGGAGAACACAGTGCAACAATGCAGGTTCCACTCAGGCACCAAGATTGTTTTTAACAGCTTTACTTCCTCAGGATGCTCACCTCGGTCAGACGGACTGCGCTCTGCTGGGAGGCCATGTTGCCTCGGCCAGAGTAGACCTGTGGTAGTTCAGTTATATTGTGCTCCCCGTCTTGCTCTGCCTCACTTTCTGAAAGGTTTGCCCCCCTGAGAGTTGTAGCCAACACAATAGTTGATCAGATTTAAATCATCAATTCTGCAGAAGGAAACAAATAACTTGAATCCCTGTGTTAGAACAGCTACATCTCACTAAGCATTTTGAAAAGGACCTTACTTCATCATCAGCTCACTGATATCCTCAAACTTTGCCATGTTGGGGAACCTCTCCTGCATCAGCTTTTTGACTCCACGGCTCATTCCCACAGGGACAACCTTCAGGCTGCTGCAGGTTGGAAACGTGATCATGTGGGTCAGTCTAACAATTACTCAAATAAAATAAATATGGTCATTGTGTTGAGGCCCGTCAGTGCGTTTACTTTGAACATACATCACTGAACAGTCATGTCGAAATTCGTCATCATGTGAGCCCAACATCTCTGCCGTCAAGCCCTTTGCTAGAGCAAACAGGGCAAAAACAAAAAGTACTTACTAGTGACGGAATTCTATTTCCTGGGTCTCTGGGTTGTAATTCAGCAGCACACACCTCTTGATATTGTTGAGGCTTACCTGGAAAACAACAATATCTTTGTTTTTGGTTGCAAGAAGTCATTATACATTTTTACAATGTTGAATGCTCAAAGATTTAGTAATCAGATAGCGTTTACTTTTGATTCATCTTCAAAGGAAATCTCAGAAGACTATACGATCATCATGATGCCAACAGGGCTTTAAATCTCGAGTCAACCACAAAAAACAGTACTATTGTTAAAAAGAAACATACCTTGTGCACATTAATGGAAGGAAACATGTTCTGGAACATGGTGGCCATGAGTTTAACGTGCATGCCATCAGATCCAAAGTTGTTGAGGATTAATAGAGGATGATGTGTGAACTGCTGATCGTGCATCCTGTGCTTCTTCAGAGATGAAACCACATCTTTGACAAGGGAGTACTGAAAAGAGTTTTAGAAAAAGAAGAAAAGAGTCCTCAAAAATGTAGGGAAACATTTAAGTGTTAAACATTACATTGGCAGTTTGGGCGCATCAGTGCGTTTACTTTGAAAACATCACTTACAGTCACATACTAAATTGTCATCATTTGAGCCCATTTTCCTTTTGTACTTCTATTTCAAGGATGAGTTCATACAATTACCTTGACTACTTTGAAATTAAGCATCGGACCTTTCGGAAGTCGTGCCAGTCTCTGAAAGCACAAACAAATAAATGGTTGGATGGGGATCAGGCTAATCATGACAAAACTGAAAAAGTTCTTCAGCACCCGAGAGCTGTTTAAAAAAAAAAAAGGTTATTTATTTAATCTTACCAGGTTTACACAGGTGGGAGTTTTGCTGAATATCATGAAGTGTGTTACTCCCAGAGGTCCTGCAATAGCCACAAAGTCTTTCAGCACATTCTTTTTCCTAACCTGGTAAAAGGAAAAAACAACATTAGATATAGTTGAAGTGAAAGAGCAGAGGAAATGACAAAGATACTTGCAGATAAAAAATATCAGAAAAAGCTCATATATATATATACACATTTCATTAAAATGCTCAAATAAACCCCACTGACCTTCAGTGACTCCGCAGTGTAGGGCTCCATGACTCTCCGCATATCCTCGATGAGCTGACCCACGTTTTTCCCGATCTGTCCCCGGTTAAACACGAAGGAGTGGGGGATAGCTCCGTAGATCTCCTCGGCCACATGGTTAGCTGTGGCTCTGGACTTCTTTTGGTTCTTGGTCTGAAAAAACACAACAGCAATATATTAATTATAATTAATACATTTAGTTACATGACACTTGACAGATTATTGTTTGATTTTGCTTTGAATTACGATTAGAGTTTACAGTTTAATTAGATTTAAAAAAAAAGTAAGCTAACGTACACGATTAACTAGCTCTACTAACAGTTACACAAATCCACCACAAACTGAGGTTTATCTTTCTCGTATAAGATATATCACATGTTTATTCATTAAATAGACTCAAATATAAATACAAGTTTAGCTATCTTTCCTTAAGGCTAACCCATGCGCACAGGCCGTCACTTACCTTTGATTTCCCCATTTTTCAACGAGATGTAGTTATATTGAGTTAACAATAATAACATAGATAGTTGCAACACTATATTAATTATATCGAAACAAGTACGTTCATTATGACCGTACAATGCAATCAACAACAATTTAAACCATCGAGGCTTCAACTGCGAAGACAGCGCGACGCCTTCCACATGGTGGTTCTGCTGGTGTGTGTCACGTACTAATGTGTCCGGGGTGATTGCTCACGTGTTTTGAAATAGTTCCTAGAGAAAAAGGGTCCGCGTCCCTCAGCATGATCAGTGAGGTCTAATAATAATAACCTAGGCAATTTACACGTTTTAAAATAAAAGTCCAATGAAAACAAAAAGACCGCTTATTGTTACAAGTGTGCCTTTGTCATTCATTGCACTATCCCAAGTAAGCCACTTGTTTTGCCATTTGCAATTTTCAATAAACATTTGGAGTTTTAGATTTGAAGCAACAGCAAACAATTAATATTTCTTAATGAATATCAATTTTGTTCAGTTGTGATTGCCTGCTGCATTGTTTAAATTAATATTTAAGCAAGTGTTTTAATTCTGCAGTTCCTCATTATGATAACTAGAGGGACACCTTCATGCTTCATCTCGACCAGCGATGAGGAGGTCACTAAAGCCTCAGGTTTATGTTTTTCAATTTATTTAGTATTCTTTTTTTGTGCAGTTTAAATGCATTTATCATCTTCCATTGGTCCACATGTAACAGGATCAATGTTTTAATTTGAGCAGTCAACATAGCTAAGTAAAAAGTACATCTTTATTTCAGGCAATCATACATCCTACAAACTTGTAAAAGCAGGATAACACAAACATTACATTTACATTACATTACATTACATTACATTGCATTTAGCTGACGCTTTTATCCAAAGCGACTTACAATAAGTGCGTTCGTCCAACAAACACATGATTTTGTCAAGATAAGCACTGACCTAAATGAAACATGACATTTCAATTATTATTATTATTATTATTATTATTATTATTATTAATAAGTCATTAAGAATTGTATGAACACATTCCAGGTATTAAGAGGAAAGGAGAGTTGTCTGTAGAAGCTTTATTTAAAAGTGGCAACAGAGAGCAGGGAGCTAAAAATGAAACAAAGTCAAACAAAAGCTATGTTTTATTTTAGACTGTTAAGTACAGGAGGTATTGAAATCACAAGTTGTAATTATCTCCTTAAGATGGCAGCAAGTTTACATTGTCAGCTGCTGTGTTATCACAAACAAGAATTTAATTTTAGGTTTCACACTTCCACCCCATCATTGAGGGATCTTTGACATGTCTGTAGTTCTGTTAGTAACAGTTATTACAGCTTACAAGACTGCTGTAATATCAAAGATAGTATTTCAAGTGTTTACCGACAACAATGCTGGCCAAAGAACATGGTGTAACACCAGCTTCACATGCAAACACCTAACAGTTGTCCTAGCAATTTAAAAGTCAAAAGTATCTGCTGCTTTTTTTTTGTTATCTCACTCACATCGTGTCCCCACCCAAAACCGGATGTGCCTTCATATGACATATTGGGTGTTTGGGTGTTTTATTGCATGAAATGGATTTCCCTTTTGCTGCTGTATAGGTCAGTGGTTTTAAAACTTTTTTTGGCCAAGTCACACCTAAGAATCTCAAGGCACACCTATAATCATATCCAGGCAAAATACCCTCTATAACACATATCACTGTTATCACTCTGTGCATTTTTATTTTATTTACTAATGCAAAACAAAATTTGACAGACAATTATATTATTTAAATAATCATTTATTAACAAAATAATTTAAGAATCCATTTAATTAATTATTGTAAAATTGGGCCACATTAAAGTAGCAACACAGTACATTTATATAGCAATGAGTTGAAAATAAAACGTTTTCTACTAAACTTGTAAAGAAAAAAGATGCATTGAGAATGAAAATGAACTGGCATGCAAAAACTGAATACAGACAAATCATCAACGCAGTTTAGAAAATGTTTAGTTGTGAATTGAAGGCTACATTTAGATCAACCATCAACGCAGTAATAGATGACTGTGAATTGTTGTCAATTGAAATATTAGACCTAACTTACATTTCAATAAGCATTCAAATAATTGCTATTGTAAATATGTTCTGCCTACTTAAAAGCTAGTGACACATGTGCCTGGCGGTGTGCACAGATTTTTGTAATCCTTGGTGGTACTGAGGAGAGTACCACTCGCAAATCCTGTTCAACAGAGAGGCACGATCTCCTGTTGCTTTTCGTGTAAACCAGAGAAGAGAATGCCAACTCACACAGGTAGGTAGTGAGGAAAAAAGTTGGTCAATTGCTTGGCGTGAGATAATAGGCCAGGTCCATATTTTTAAGTATTTACAGTTCTGGATTTCTTTGTTCAACAAATGAAAGCTGAAACAGAAATTGCTAATTTTTGCAGACTTGAAAGTACAATTCCGAGGTACATTTACTTGAGTATTTACATTTTATTATACTTTGTACTAATACTTCACTATATTTAGGAGGCAATTGTTAGACTAATAAATACATTTTTCTCACAGCAGCAGTTACTTTACAGACTACGATTTTACATATAAAACACATGATCACTTTATAAGATGCATTATCATGGATTAAAGTGCTAAAAGCTACTAGTAGAGAAAATAGTGGAAACAAGCGCCACCGCAACCAAACGTGACATTAAAGGATGCATATATATACATTTATCATTGAGAATATCATGGGATATTTTCTAATATACAAAATGTGACAAAGTTAATTAATACTTTAAGTACTTTTTGCTGCATTTGTTGTTACTTTCTGACATTTTATAGACACAATTAACAAACCATTTATAGATAATCATAACTTGCATCCCTACTTCAAACAAGTGTATTTGAGTACCTCACTAGTTCAACTCCTAAAGGATAGTCTGTGGCAGCAGAGCAGGTTGATGGCAGAGGGAGGAGACATCCAGCTAAACAGCAGGTACTGGGAGGCGTCATTTGGATAGTTTGTAATTAGATGTCTCTTCTTCAGAGATCCTGAGACAGATCCTTGAGAGAGAAGGGGTAGTCTAGTTGCTGACAAAACTTGAGTGCACTTCTTGTTCTTTTCTTCAGATACATTTGTGAGCCTAATTTTCTCTGCTCACATCTTCACTTCACACAGGACCGCAGACAACTGTTCATTTGGAAGGGGCTGCTTGTTGATATGCCTCTTGGTTACCCCTTTAACATGTGATTTAAAAAAAAGTGTTAGCCTATTTTTTACATATGTGCGTCCTTGGAGCTGCAGCTACACACTGGAGCAGAACAAAGACGTCCTGAAGCCTTTTTCTTCTGCTACGGTAAGTCAATGTAATACATTTGAATGTAGACTGAATTGTACTGGTTATGCGTTGGCATACAAAGTCTCACTCGGCGAAATAACTTATTGATTTGATAAATCCTACCAGAGAGTTGATTCTGAACAAAAGTATTTTGAAGTGTAGATGTATACTTCTGTATCTGTGAGAAAGGTATACTGGAGATTCTTGTGTGTGATGTCCTTGTTGACCTAATTGGGTTCATGTGTTTATGGTGTTGACCGTGGTTGTTGTGGTTGGATGTGGTTGGATGTGGGGCTAACTCTTCTGTTGACCGTGTGATGGAGGTGTGTTGACTCTGGCTGGTTGATGTTGACTATTGTCCTTTCACTGTTGACCTGCTAATAAATTCCAGCCAGGGGGAAATGTGCTACTTTCCAAGGAAACATCTGGTGTCAATACCCACAGCACTATGAAGACATAGTTTAAGTAATTGAATCATGTGTTGTTACTGCAGTGGAAATTGTAATCATGTCCTCTCCTACACTTCCAGGGTGTCCACAGAATCCATCACCTTCATGGAGAAGACATGGACAATAGGTTTGACTCTTTTCTTAACACTCTGTCTGGACATACCAGGGGTCGGAGGACGTAAGGAGGGGACTCATGGCGAGAACGCTCAGAAACGTTCCTCGCGATCTTCAGAAACAAAAGGAGGCCGTTGCTCCTACACTTTCATTGTCCCACAGCAAAAACTGACAGGTGCTCTGTGTTTGAACACACAGTCGTCCTATACCAACCAGTCGGAGGTGGCAGCGCTGCGGGCTGAGCTCAAGCAGCAGCAGGAGCAGATGGAGAAGCTCCAGGGCAAACTGGAGCAGGAGGGGTCTCTTGCCATGGAGGTAAGAGCCCTGCAAAAAGAAAGTAGCAGCATGAATTCACGCATTGCCCAGCTCTATGCCCAGCTGCTTCATGAAGTCATACACAAGAAAGACCACGTTTTGGAGCAGCAAAGGGTGGATACCCTCCTGCTAAATGCTACAACACAGGTAACCTCACTCCTTGTCACAGCAAAGCAACATCCTAATTGTAATGAAACTCATCCTTACAACATGTCAGGCACTGCAGGTGTCCAGTAACTACAGGGAACTGGAGAAGAAATATGGAGTCCTCACCTCCATGATGAGCTCCCAGAACCAAATCATTGCTCGTCTGGAGAAGCAGTGCCAGAGCTGGGACACCACGCAGGCTCCTCTGGTAGGGAACAAAATGGGGTCTGCTTTTTGCACATTTATACTCCATTTCTCCACTGGAACTGACAATGGTATTTTGTTTTTGTGTTGGTCATGACAGGTGACAAGTGAACCACCAAAAAGCCAGCCTAATGTGGATCGTAATTACAGCTCTGAAGCCAAAGAAATTACCAATGATGTTCAAAGGGACCAAAGTGCTCTTCCACCACAGCAGGAAAAAACAGTTTTATCCCTTAACACCACTACAGCCAACATTCCTACAGACCCTTCATTCATTAGTTTTCCTGTCACAAAGACACCAGGTATGTAAAGCACGACTCACAGCTGAAGTACTCGATCAGACTTCAAACTCTAAGCGTATCAATCTTCTGCTGGAGTTATTTAGCAGCTTAGATAAGCAGACGCTGAAAGAGTCAGTGACCCGACGGTAGGAGGCCTATCTCGCTGGGAATGCCTAAACAATGTCAAAAACAGCTAGAAGCTCTTATCAGAAGGACTTTTATAATGAAGACACCCTTGTGAACCAGAGCATTTGTTGGAGCTTCAAATGACACGACTAATGTATAGTTGGATTGGAATACTTGTAATAAAAAAGTAGAGGACGTCTAATAAGTCAAGAACAAAGGGACTCCACTTTGTGAGAGCCTCAGTACAGACCAAAGACGTACATTGTCACATCTTATGTAAACGCGACTAGGTATGGACTACTAATGCTTGTTGGGAATTAGGCATTTGTGTGGGAGATTTTTCTCAATGTATACATTTTCTCCAGGCAGATTATCTTATCTCTGTCACACTAGACACTAAGCATGTGTTGGGAGAAAAATGGTTTAGCTGTCAAAAGATAAGCTGGAGTTGCAGTGTATTTTGTGATCTTCCTGATGCTAAAATAAACACAATTCCGTAAACTATCTATAACCGACACCCTTGTGTTTTACAAAATTGTCGCTACTGAGTTTAACTCTGTCTTAAAGCAACAACGTTGACGAAGGACAAATCCTCAGTTACTTATTTCAAAGGTTTACTGTTAAAAAAAAGAAGGAAAAATTACAGATTGAGATCCATTATGTCTGGATTTCACTTCTTTCTCCCCAAACAAAGTCACTCCAACTGAGCGCTTGGCTATATTAATACCTTATTTAAAGTATTTCAAAATCAAATATTATATGACAACATATATCTGAATATTGTATTTCCTTCTCGACCCATATCCTTTTCTCATAAATCAGGGCCGTGGCGGGACTGCCAGCATGTCCTGGAATCAGGGGAGACCACCAGCGGGATCTACCTGCTCCGACCACAGAGTGCCAACCGCCTGCTGCAGGCTTGGTGTGAGCAGAGTCGAGATGAGGGAGGGTGGACGGTCATCCAGAGAAGACAGGATGGCTCTGTAAACTTCTTCAGGACTTGGGAACAGTATAAGGTGATTCTTAGTTTATTTTATTAGAATACATACATTTGATAGTTAGCAACAAACACAAAGTAGCAGGCTCATGGGAATGTCGTTGCTTTTGCAAATATTCAGTCTAGACAATGTATTAAAGATCCCCCATGTTGTGGATCCCTATTCTATTCCTATTCCTTCTGGAGGGGGGCATAATTGTGTATAGTAAACGGCTTAGCAATCCATCCAATAGTTGTTGAGATGCATGTACCAATTTTTGTTTCAATTAATCCGATATAAATGAAAATGTGACCTGCTGCGCTAGAGCTAGGGAAAAAAGACCTACGCATGATTAATACTTTCCGTCAGGAATAACCCATACAATGTTTACCGGAAGTTGACATAGTAACCATGATTTCAACATTGTTGATTTGACAACATGACAACGTTGTCCTCAAAATTTGTTTGAGGACTATGGTAAGTTTGAGGCATGTGGTTTTTTTAAGAACCAGAAATGACACAATTGGGGGAACTGAGTATTCTGAACAAAACATTAGGCAACTAACCAAGTGCAATACAGTTTTTTAAACTGATATCAAACTGTAAAATCGTAAATCTTCTAAGACAAAAACATTGAGAGTGCTCCAACCTGGACAACTATGTTAGTGAATCACAAGACAGCTGCTTTTTAAACTTCAAATGGAAAAAACTTTTAAGAAAATAAAATTCATGCTCTGCTAAAAGAGACACAAAACTAGCATTTTACATCATGAGCTTGACAATGTCTTATGAGGTATGAAAATAATTGTATTCATAGACTTCTATTCAACAGGGTTATTTTTTACATCCAGTGGGATGCCCCCTAATGGAAGTCAAATCACTTTCACAGTGGCTTCACTTTTCAGACTCTGAGGTTTCCTCCTAATTAAATTGTTGTGTGGGTGTGTTACAGCAAGGCTTTGGGAACCTAGACGGAGAGTACTGGCTCGGCCTTGAACACCTCTACTGGCTGACTAAACAGGCCAAGTATAAGCTTCGTGTGGCTATGGAGGACTGGCAGGGCCGGCAGGTTTATGCTGAGTATGACAGCTTCCACCTGGAACCGGAGAGCGATTGGTATCGACTGCGGTTAGGACAATACCAAGGCAACGCAGGGGACTCCCTCTCATGGCACAACAACAAGGCTTTTACCACTCTGGATCGAGACAAGGACAGCTATACAGGTCTGTATAGCTCCTTCTGCTCCTGTTTCTTAGCTCTCTGTTAGTGTTTTGACTTGAACTGTTTATAAGCCTGTTCCTCTGTTGTGCCCCCAGGTAACTGTGCTCATTACCAAAAAGGAGGCTGGTGGTACCACATGTGTGCCCACTCCAATCTGAATGGTGTGTGGTATCGGGGCGGACACTACCGCAGCCGCTACCAGGATGGGGTCTACTGGGCCGAGTTCCACGGAGGGTCCTACTCCCTCAAACGAGTTTCCATGATGATCAAACCCAAATAACATAGTTGCATTATAAATAAGTAAGAAGGAAATAATGATGAACTGATGCAGATAAATGTAGAGGGCCTAGAGAATATATTTCAGTGTTATCCCTGTACAGTGTTGAGCCAGTGTGTTTGATAAAACATGTCTTTATTTGTTGAAGAGGCCACTCAGTAACATGTGTAGACTGTGAATCATGTTCTGTGTTGACACATCCTTCCGTTATTGCAATTTCCTGACAACTTGAATCTTTCAATTCAATTTGCTCTGTGCTTTTTAATAAAAAAATAAGCCTAATTCTGTCCGTTGCCATTTTTTTTATGAATGAATAGATAATATACTGTGAATGTGACAAAAAATATTGAGGAAGAATAGTATATTATAAAGGGGTTTTCAAAGCTCTCCAATAAGAGGAGTTTGTGGTTATGGTGACATATTTCCGTTTTTTCTGGCAGTTTCCTGTACACTGGGGCGTTACATTTTGCCCTGGTATACTTTCTTTTCATCCCCCAGAGCACGGGTAACCGTCAGCAGCAAGTAGTCACCATACAGGCCAGCTCCGAGACAGCATTCATCTTATCCAGATACTGAAGCTGGACATCTTCTGGAACATCCTGAAACACACTTTACTTCTTCCTTCCACCTGGTGCATGCTCACAGCCTGCATGCTGCCTCTCAGGATGTTGGGCCTCCTCATACTCATGCTTTCACTGTGTGGTGAGTGATAATGATGCTCTACAGGAGCTCTGTGTGGGTCCTAAATGTTACACCTCATTTTCCGCTTGAGCTATAGATAATACTTACTACACTACTGGGGTAGTTTGAAAGGCTGCAGTTGTTACCAGTGATGATAAGTAGAAACATAAATGGATTGATTTCCTTTTGTTTGGTTGCTTCAAAAGATCATCTAAAGAGAATCTTGAAAAGTGGAAGTTGTCGCCTTTGACTTTTCAAATATAATAAAGTGAAAAAGTTGGAAAATGTAATGGAAGTTAAAAATATATGATTTTAAGTAGCATAGCAAGCTCAAATGATTGTGGCACAAGCTTCTGTTATATCGTTGACTTCTGTTAACCACATTAACGGCAATGGGTGTGGTGGATAAAGAATCCATTTTGAAATAAAAATGATTAATAACATTTTGGCAGATTAACTTGAGTTTTAGTATAGCACAGATGTTTTTTTCAAGACAGTACATAACTATCTATTTCTAAAAATGGAAGGATCCGGTAGTTTTTAAATCCTAAAACATCACACTACATCCAATAAATAAACGTTATCATACATTTTTAGGATAATCTATTTGTATTGTTGCCTTTTATCTCTTAGTTATAAAAACCTACATATTTTAGTGCTGACCTTACATTTCTGTATGACTATATCTGTGATTCAGCACTTTTGTAAATTATACCATTACAGACTCATGTGAGCTAGAATTCAGCCCTACCCAATTCAAAGTATAATTGGACCACCAGAGAGCAGCACAGTCCTCTTTTAAATTCCATTAAAAGCATTACCAATTGTCTATCAACAGATGCAGACAGCATATGCCCCACTGAGCTCAACCCTCTCACTCTGGATGTGCCCAGGGTCATAGAAAGGTATGGAGCGTCAGTGGAGGTAAACTGCACCAGCACAGAGGCGGATCATAAGGGGATGTACTGGAGAATTGGAAACAATGACTTTAGAGCTATCCCTGGGGAAAGTTTTATCTCCCAGTCAGTGTCACTGTCTGAATGGAACGTGACAGCAGAGTGCAGAATATTGCTGAATGAAACTCATGAATGCATCAAAGAACTTGAAATCACCATATACCGTAAGTACATTTCAAATGAATACTACAACATTGAAAAATACGAAAACATAATGAAGTAACTCCAGTATCTAATTTCTCTTTGATAGAGAATCCAACGGTCGCTGTGTTTCCAGTGAATCGTGCGGTGGAAGGGACCCTGTTCGAGCTGCAGTGTAATATAACAGATGTTGCACCAGTTCAAAACCTCGTTGTGAGATGGTTCAAAGATAATCAAACAATCCGGACAGACAATTTCACCAACACAACCACAACACCTGTAAGTGAGTCCTCTACTTTGGCAGTCAACATCAGCAGGGCAGAACATGGAGCTGAGTTCAAGTGTGAGGCTCAGCTCGACTTTGGGTCACACGGACCACAACTTCCTATTGATTCTGAGATATACATCGTTTCTGTGAACTGTGAGTAAACACTCTGTTGTTTCCGGATAAACAGAATAATAAATTGTTCCATATCATAAAGTAAATATTTGAATCAATCAATGTTTTAGTTTTTTAAAATAAATACAAAGCCTTGATTTGCCTCCACAGATGCTCCTGAATTCAAGAACACATCAGAGGATTTCTTTGTGCATGAGGGTGATGATGTGACCCTGAACTGTGACGCTGAGGGGCGACCCCAGCCCACCTTTCATTGGAAACATGATGGGAAGATATTATCTGATACTAATAATCTCAACATCACTAGAGTAAACACCAGTGGGATGTACAACTGCTCAGCAATCAATTTTCTTGGAAAGATAACCAAGGAAATCCATGTTCATGTAACAATGAACATCCCAGCAGCCCCTGCAGTCATAACAACCCCTGCAGTCATAACAATCCCTGAGCCATACAAACGTAGAGGTAGGATACATTCCTGTGTCCTTTTCATGAGCTTACATGATTCAAATGTATCACTAATTATATGTGATGATCACCCTGTTGCTAACTTTAATTATGTTTTTTTAATTATTGTGTACTAAACTTAAGCGCTCATTAAACATGTTTTTTTTAATGGCAGGATGCCCACTAGTGTTGACACCTGCGAAAATAGTGGTGAGATTTGGAGATCCAGTTTCCATTAACTGCAGTACATCAGTTGCAGTTCCTATACATATGGGCTGGGAGACTACAAGTGGAGACGTAGGAGATAACGGTACTTCTTTCACCTGGAGTGTTGAGAAAGTGGAAGACTGGAGCATAAAGTCTGCTTGCTTCATTACTTATGACGATAATGGCAACGATACACAGTGTTATGTGGAGCTGGACATCACTCTTTATAGTGAGTACAAGTCTATAGATACACCCTATCTTCTGTCTTTATCCTGAGGGGAAGTAATGATGTCCATTGCTTATAGACATTCTTAATTGTATACATTTTAAGTGACACTTAAAAAGAAAGTACATATGGAATATATCATTGTGTGTGCATATTTGGTGTATATATTTGATTCATCCATTCATTCATTACATTTGTATTTCTGTATCATACTAAACATTTTGCTAATCTCGCATGAGTTAACAAGACACCACTATTTTACATACATCTCGTCTTGCATATACAAAACACGAGGAAAAGGAAAGAAGCACAAATAAACATCCTAGGTATCCTAAATTAGATGTTCCTATTATTTGTTTTAACTATTAAATATCTCCATATGTTTCAAATCAGTCTTTGTGCATCATCCTAAAATCTATATCTACATATATGAACACCTGGGATTGTAATTTTAGGGATATCATTTTGTTTTGTTTTCTACTAAGTATTGTCCCTTGCTTTATTTTCAGAGACTCCAGACATTGTGTCAGTCTCTGCGTTGGATTCTGGGCCAGTGATGGAGGGCACAGAGATCCAACTGAAATGTGACATCATTAATGTGACTCCTGTGCAAAAGCTCACTGTGAGGTGGTACCGTGGAACGGACATTTTGCGCACAGATGTATTGGATGAAAATAGGAGGATCCCAGTAAACATGTCATCTATTTTCAATTTCACTGCTGAGAGAGATTACAACGGAGCAGAATTAAAATGTGAGGCTGATCTGCAACTAGAAACAAATAGACCTGACCTTGGTCATCATTTAACCTCATCACCTTACACGGCTGTGGTGCACTGTGAGTTGTCTTCACATATATCTATTTTTGTATTTTTTTTACTTTCTTCTACTCAACACTTACCATTCTCTCTGCAGTTGCCCCTGAGATCAATGAGGGAACTTGCAGTAAGGAGGTGAACTTGGATGGAAATGTGACTCTTGACTGCAGTGCTGAGGGCAACCCTCTTCCTGACCTGCATTGGAACTACACCACTGCAGAGAATGTGAGGGAGACCACCAGATGGCACCAGAAGAGCCTCACCATCACAGGAGCCACGTCTACCAATGCTGGTTTTTACATCTGTGTTGCCACGAATTATGTTGGGGAAGTGACAAGTACTGTCACACTGAAGATGAAAGGTATCATTATTGACTATGTACAGTGAAGTGGTTTCTGATGTTAATGCTATACATAGGTTGTGGTGGGGGTGGGGGGGGGGGATTATTTATTGAATCAAGAAGTAAAAACATAGTTCAATGAATTTGGTTTTATCTTGTTTGTCTTACAGGTCAAATCAGTGTATTTCCTTGGAGATTCCTTTGGTGGTTGCTGATTGGATTGATCGTCGTCTTCATCGTCATCGTCATTGTCATTGTCCACAAATACTATAAAAAACTTGGGCGATATAGTTTTGTCCTTGACAGAGCCAATGATGGTTCAGATATCCCAATACCTCCTCTGTCAAACGGGGCTGAAGATACAGTGTAACATACTTCTCAATGGGTAAGATGAAACCAGCCAATGAAATCAGTTAATTAAAACGTAACCAGAAAAGTCATTCTTGCCATCTATATAATATGTTTGTAAATATTGTGTTTAAATGTAAATGTTGGTGTGGTACGACGAGTATAGGTTTTCAGCAGCAACAAATGTGTACAAATTCTTAATCAGGAGCATTTGTTTGTCAAGAAGTGCTACTAACAAAGCCGGTGTATTATAACATTGATTATTTTTTTCAAATGTGTGAATTTAATCTTAGTATAACCAATTTTTCTATCTCTGTTTCTATTCTTAATAAAGTTACACAATAGCCTTTGATGATGTGTTGAATGCCTTTGAATGTTCTTTTAAAAACATTGTTGTACAGCTACATAAAAAACAGGACTGCCAGGACTGATTTTGATTATGAAACATTAAAATATTCTACAAGAGCTAAACATCTGAGCATTACTCTAGAATTTAAGTTATGATGTATTATCAGCACAGAAACCTGTCTGTAACACTTAATAGAGTCATTCATTATTTGAAGAAATGTGAATCTTTCAGGGTGTTAAAAAGGATGTAATGTGTGATGATGAATGTGACCATGCTCCGTGAGGGCAGCACAAAGCCCTAAAAGCTCCTTGCCTTGCTCAGGGACACTATTACACCAGGTTAACTAAAATTATTAAACTAGTTTAACAAAAAATATTAAACCAGGTTAACTAAAATCATTAAATCAGGTTAACTAAAACTATTGATGCAGGTTAACTGTGTGTGGACGGGCAACAAAGTGGCAGGATGCGCCTGTGGATCAGAAGCTACACTGCCCCTTTAAGATTTAGGATTTGGGAGTGACGCGGATATGAAAGCTAGTTTATCCCTCTTTCCTTCGCTATGAAAAATATTTGGACATACTGGACTAACGATTGCCAGCCCGTGTTAATTAGCTCATTATGACGCTGATTTACATTATTTGTTGACGGAATCAGAACCGTAGTGCATAGTGGTCAGGGCCGCTAGGGATTATACTTGCCAGGGCCGTCCTCTGAGCTCCTGGGATAACTTTGGAGAAGTTCTTTGTATTCGGGATAGTCACACAGCTTGGCCAACAGGCTGAACATGGACTGGGGCACAGAGCTTTGGGTGAGTCCATCATCTGGCTTGCTTTGCTAGTAATACTTGTTAAGATGGAGCTAAAGCGATTTCTTAGATGGAGTTCGTCGAGAAAGTCTGGTAACGCCAAACGTTTTGTTGTTGAGGGATACATGACTGAAGGAGGACGAGTTGCTGCAAAACGGTGCATTCATGAACACAGATCCTCTCAGAATCTTCTTTAGTTTTCAGAAGTTAAAACAAAAAGTGACCTGCTACCAACATGTTGCTCTTGTGGAAAGGGAATCATCTTTGATCCACGTTTGTACATCGGTTGGATGTGCTGCAGGATTGTTTCCCTCAAGTATGTTTATAGTGATGATATCTGCAGTGCACTAAAATGTACATTCTAAACGTATTATTGCCTTTTCAGTTCCTGCTATACTTCACATATGAATCAAGGCAACTTGAACAACAATCTAATTTGTAGATATCATGTGTCCTGCACGTATTCAAAACATGCATACATTGCAAAATGTGTATTGTAATGCCAGGCGGAAAATTGTGTCAGAATATTATTTATTATGCACATATAAAGACTTTTAAATAGTGCGGGTTGCTATGATGTCTCAGTGTTTACAGTTTGGCACTCCTTGCCTCCATGGAGATGAAATCAGTTGCTGTCATTTGCCTTGACAACAAGCTGATGAAGTGTCCACCTGAGTTTCATGATTATTTATTCAACAAACCAAAAAGTGAACTGGTTTCAAGAAGTCTTGATTTTCAATTAAAGTGATTGGTGAATTGAGTTATTATATAAACACATTCCTTAGGGTATGTTTTTGTTATTGCACTGACCAATGTAGCAATTAAAATTACCTGCTTCAGCTGGTAATTTTAAAAGATGAGGGCTGTTTTCTAGGTCATAACAAACCAGGCTACAGATGGCTCCAGTCTAAAACATTTTAACTTGTTCTGGTGGTGACACTATCCTGAATCTGAACACACCCTGTTGAAACATCCCACCTTAGAACACATTACTTTGATGACTGCCACCATGTACTGCTACACATTTGCAACAGTCACACATGCTCAGGGAACCTGAATATGTAAATTGGAGCATTGCAAAGATGAAGAGGTTGTGACCTCATTACTGAGTATCCCCCTAGGCCTCTTCCTCTATCCCTTTTCCATCCTACATGCTGGTGCAAAAGACTAATTAGTTTTGCCCTACTTTGATTGAGTGAGAGAAATATCCGTACCCCAGAACTAATCAGAGGCTCTATCTGGGTGTAGGAGGCTTTCCTGTTCATCACATGAAGTGGTTTTACAGAAAACACAAACTCATGTATTCTCTCGTCAGTACTTTTTTCATATATATATATATATATATATTTATATTATTTTTACTCTCCATTTACTTTGCTTTTTTCTCACCTGTCTGGTTAGTCAAAGCCCTTAAGGTATAATTCTGTTAATGTTTTGTTTTGGTTCCCCTAGGCAAAGTCAGCTCAATGGCATCTGTCCCCTGATTGTTGTTAATCCATTGTCTATTTTAAGGTACAAGCTAGCAGAGTGCAAGATAAGTGTCTTAGCATTAGCTGTGATAGTGAGTGCTACCAGACCAAGAGAACTACAGGTCTGATCAGGCCCTACTTTTCTAGACGACAGGGTGACTCAGAGCTGAAACTTCCACCCAAGCCTTGTAGGTTGGTGACTTTCAGGATGACTCTTTTAAAGTTATGTGGCTTTCACTTGACGCCAGTTTCCGGGATGTATTGGAAAATGTAGTGGACATGTTTTAGGCATGCTAGGTTTAGATAAACACTTGAAGTCCTCAATTTTTAAGTATTATGTTTATGTAGCAGTATTTGTTCACCCCCTAGCCTGAATCTGTGCCACAGAAATAGGTTGTGGTACAGAAGAAGTTATATAATTACCAGGGTGCTACTGGATGTTCCTATGGAATGCTTTACAATATGTAAAAGCTACTCAAAATGTCTAATTTATGAGTACAGGCCAGGACAAAGGGCATAAGTAGTAATGAAATAGCCAGGACTCATAGCATAGTTTAACCGGAAACAGGACATTTGCTGTTAATTAAACCTCATGACCATTTAAAGTTATTAGGATCAGTTTCATACACACACTGTTGTGATTTATGGAAATGAGTTCTGTACAAACCCAGTCTAGGACCTATAATGATCATTCTGACTGTGGCTGCAATGGTTATAAATCAGCTATTGCTGACAACAAGACAATGATTATGTCCTTGAAAGCTATCTCAATGTGTTTTTAAGACAGTTTAATGAGGTGGCTTTTCTATAATTGGAACACTTTTGTTTTGAATCAAGCAGTCAGAGTTGATTTATAGAGATAATCAGATGCTACTTTTTCTGCCATCTATAAAATAGCACGAGTATAAGGCCCTTCTTTCCAGGAAACACTGGATTCAACTGGAGAAACATGATATACGTACATAGAGGAAACAGTCAACATGGATACCATTTGCCTACTATCAGAATGGTGGAATTCATTTGTTTTAGTCAGTAGATGTGTTTCGTAGCCTTACTCTGCTCTACTGTTGATGTGTGGAGGCTGTACTGGATGCAGACAACTAATAGTCATGTTAATCATTCATCAATCCTCACTCTTTAAACGTTGAGAGCTAGATTCAAACAAAGTTGGCCAATTCTTCTATTCTACAATTATTTTCCTCATCCAAGAAGGAATCTATTGTTAACACTTCAGGAAATTGGAAACTGTAGTTGTAAGTTGGCTGTATCGAACCTCATTAGCTTTTCCCTGTAACTAATGAATCTAAATCAAAGCCCTTAGCTGCCTGTTGGTTAGATGTGGTTGTGGTGATGGATTGCAGACCTCTGTCTTAACCTTTAACTGTGTTTCATCATTCATTCAGGGTTTGTCTCTTTTTGTTTTACTTAAAGGACAGGTAGAGTATAGATGAACGTGACCCAACTTGTCAAGAATCTCTTTCGACATGCCCCTCCTCGATAGTAAAGTCAGCAGTATAAAGCTTGGGGGAATTGTTTTGAGCGTGTGAGAGGATTGGCTTGGATACCGTCTATCGCTCTCTCAGACTTGTCAGAGCTTGAAGGTGTCATAAAGTTCTCTCCCAGATAAGGAAGAAAAGAGGAAGAGAATCACAATCAACCACTGCATACTGTACAATGAAAAGGAAAAGTCAGCAAACTCAGTTAAATTGGGTCTAAGAATTTGAAACTATAACATGACATTTTGTTGATGCTTTTATCCATCTGACAATAATAGCATTCAACCATGAAGAAACAAACAAAACATTTGTACCTTCTTAACATTGCCCTAAGGCATGTTTGCTGCATTCATGTGGTGTCAGAACATTAGCAAACATGATTCCCAGACTTGGAAAATTCATGTGAACGTCCCTTCAAGTTGAAACAACAACTTGAAACCAGCGTCAACCTTTTTTTTAAATGCTCGAAGCAAGAAATCCAACATATTTTCTTTATAGCATCCATGTGTTTCCAAAATACAACTTAGAATTCTTGAACACAACAAAGTTGGAAGATTGTCTCCCCAACTTGGGAAAATTGGATGAGCAGGAGCATCAAATCAAATCAAATCAAGTTTTATTTATATAGCACATTTATAAACGATTTTTGGTCGAGCCAAAGTGCTGTACATATAATAAAAATAGCCTACAGTAGAGACACTTTACAGCAAATACAACAGCACAGATTGTTCAGAATATCAGTATGAGAAAAACAACATCCTCTATCCTTAGACCCTCACATCGTACAAGGAAAAACTTCCAGAGAAAACCCACAGTTTAAGGGGAAACATGTGAGAAACCTCAGGGAGAGCAACAGAGGAGGGATCCCTCTCCCAGGACGGACAGACGTGCAATAGATGCCGTGTGTAAATCGAAGAGATAATACATTTTACAGCATATAGACCGAATGTTAGGAAATGCATGTGTCTGTAATAAGAAGATGAATCCACGAGGATGTCAGCTACAATCCTGTGGAAGCCATCAGGGAAGCAGCATGACGAGACCCAAGGCAGGACCGCAGAGACAGGTTCAGCCACGACCCGAAGTCCACGACTTAATCCAGAACTCGGGATAGAGGATCCAAGACACAGGACTACAGCAAGAGGATCAGCCTCGACTCCGGATCCCGGCGTAGATATAGATACAAAACAAGAAAAAAGATTTGGCTGGGTTAATCGGAACAAGAGAATAC